ACTCCATCCGTCACTGAGTCACTCTTTATTTAGTCATGAACAATCCTTGGCGTTAGTACTACCTCATTCAGAGTCAGATATCAGACTGGCAGTATCTCTGACACTCCCCATTTTATCTGTCATCCAGAGCTCCCTAATTGGACCAGATTAACAGACCCAATCAGGGAACTTATTTTATGACATCCAGCTGGACCACGTTACAATGACTACGTCCCTTCCCTTCGGAGTGTGAGGACATAGGCCGGTCCTTTTTATTGGAGAGCCTCCTGGCACGTTTTAGTGCTGGGTCAGGTTCCTCCAACTCGGCATCCAATATGAGCAGTGTGTAACACACTGTACTTGCCTCTTGCGCCAGGAGCACCTCAGTAGAATTTCACTCTCCATCCAGCAGCAAAAGGCTACATCTGTCATGTCCATCTCTGATTCCGAGGGCCTGTCAACACTCGATGGAGAGGGTGGACCCACAATGGGTTCCAGCAGACTTTCAAAGTGTTTCAAGTGGTCGGGCAAGTTTTGCTCCTGCACCATTTACGAATTCACAGCTTTCGTATGACGCACGGTGTTCATTCAGGACTGTGACACCTATCCAAACATTATACATCATTGGTCCTGATCTTGTGACAACAAGGCCTCTTACCCAAGTAGGGCCATTTCCATGGTTCTTACAGAAAACTTCGTTTGAAGCCATATTTTGTCTTTGTTGGCACTCTGGACACTGCTCCACCAGACATAACTTCTCACCAAACATCTTCATTTTGGAGACCCCTGGATGGCCCTGGTGGAATTCTGCCAGTATTTGGCAGCGACTTTTGCTCAGGACAATTACTCTTACTCCCCGTAACAAAATAATATCCTCTATTATGAGCTGGTCTCTCCAGTTCCAAAAAGATTTCAATTGTAGTTGTGATGTCCCTTCAGTTTCCCCCATCACCACCAGTTGCTTCAGTTTTGAAAGTACTGGATCCTTCTGCATCCAAAGTCTGATATTGTCCGCTGTGATTGGACGCATGTCCAGAAAATTTAATATCATTACCAACTCTTCCATTGAGGGTACCACTGATAGTGTATCTGCTAGTGGGAGGGGTCTCAATGCATCCGCATTCATTACTCAGCCACCCGGACAGTGTTATAACTTGTAATTATAAGTACTTGGTGTTACAGCCCACCACAGAATGCGGCCCGATGCTACAGGTGGCACTGCCTTGTCCTCTTTAAGCAGACTAAGGAGGGGTTTGTGGTCTCTGATTATCACAAATTTTTGACAATAAAGACATTGGTGGAACTTCCTGACTCCAAACATGATTGCCAATCCTTCTTTCTCTATCTGCACATATTTACGCTCTGCATTAGGCAAAGTGCTGGATGCATCCACTACTGGACATTCTTCTCCACTGGGCCACCTATGAGTTAATACCACCTCGATGCTATATGGGGATGCATCACATGTCAATACCAGATCATTCTTAGGGTGAGTTTGCCAACATCTTACAGGATGATAGCTGTTTCTTTACATCACTGAAAGCTAGGGCATATGCATATGACCATTTCCAAGGCTGACTCTTTTTTAAAGAACTGATGCAAAGGTGTCAGGATGGAGGTCAGGGTATGTATGAAATTTCCATAATAATTTACCAACCCAAGAAATGACCTTAGTTCCTTGACAGACGTGGGAGCCATGGCACCTTTGATCATCTTCACTTTATCTTCCAACAGATGTAACCGGGTCTTGTCAACTCTGTAACCCAAGTAAGTCACTTGGGGAGCCTGGAACACACATTTTTCCCTTCTTAGGCATACACCCACCTTGGAAAAATGCCTTAGACTATATTCCAGTTCTCTAAGTGCTCCTTATTAGTTTTTCCTGCTATTCGAATGTCATCTAGATAAATAGCGACTTGAGGTAATCTTGTAAAATGCTTTCCACCACCCACTGAAAAATTGCACAGGCTGATGATACCCCAAATGGCAGTCTTGTATATTGGTAAAACCCTTATGGGTATGAATTGTGGCATACTTCTGGGAATCCTCATCTAACTGTAACTGCAAATACACATGGCTCATGCCCAGCTTCATGAAGGACAGCCCACCTGCCAGCTTTGCATATAAATCCTCAATCCAAGGGACTGGGTATTTATCCAGCTGAGAAAAGCAGTTTATCGTTTGTCTAAAATTCCCACAAAGGCAAACTGATCTGCTGGGCTTCAAAAATTGGTATGACTAGTGTTGCCCATTGGACTGGTTTGATTATTCCTTCGTTTTCTAGTCTTCTGATTTTTGCCTCTACTTTTGCCCGTAAGGTACTGGATGGGCCTTGCAGAATTGTGGAATTGCTCTCTGGTCAACATGCAAAGTGGCCTTCGTTCCTCTGATAGTCCCTAGACCTTCCTGGAAGATGTCTAGGTATTTAATTAGGACTTCAATCAGGTAACCATTTTCTAATTGAGCAATAGGTGAATCTCTCGCAAACAACTTTGCTCTATAAAGTTTGGACCCGAGCCATTTACTACAAACACTGAACCAGCTGCTTCTCACAAAAAAGACTAGAACCGAAGTTGTACTCCTAATCTGTAAAGATTTCCCGGTATAGATTCTCAGCCTAGCTGAGGTCTGGCGCAAACTTAAGATCTGGAGTCCAGAGCGAATTTTGTTAAAGACTGGTTCTGTGGTCTCTGATACAGCCATGCCAGTATCGACCTCAATTAGAGCTGGATGACCATTTAACCAGACGTTTGTTTTGACTGATTATGATTTGGATGTTGCTAAGGAATTTAACTGTTCAAAACCAGATGCAGGTGGATTTTCCAGGGTATGAACTCTCCTGGATACCAGCCTATGAGTTATCTTACTCAATTTAGGTCGAGCAGGACTCTTTAGCCAATTTGAGTTCACATACCAACAGCAACTACAATGGCTTACTGGCTAGGATACTGAAGAAAATTTTACCTGTTTGGCCAAGGATTGGCTTTGTTTTGGAGTTTTGCTGTGGGCCAGCCTGGAGTCCCTCTGGTCAGGATATGTCCTGAGTGAGGCTATGCAATTGCCTGCACTCAAGTGGTGCTCCCCAAGCTCAGTTGGGCTGGCAAGGGTGTCGACTTTCTCCAAAATACCCTGCAACTCAAATGCTCCACTTGCCGCATTTTCCAATGATAAAGCCAGTTGTAGCGCCTGTTAGAAGTCCAGTTGGGCTTTTTTTGGGTGTTTTTTGCATGGTTATATCATTAATCTCACACACTAAACGGTTTAAAACATCTCATTAATGGATAAACCAAAGTCACAGGCTTTTACCAGTCATCTTAACCTAACGAAAAATCCCAAAACAGATTCCTCCAGTTCTCGAATTGCTGAGTGAAAATGACAGTGTCTCAGAATTAGAGGAGAATTGGGGTCCTTAATATTCCTTAAATATGTCTGTCAATTCTTAGAAGACTTTGGTATCTGGTGCCTCGGGGAAAGTTAGGCTGCTAACAACAGAAAAAGCTGTGGTTCCACAGGCTGTCAGGAGAATTACTCACTGCTGTTTGTCTGCCGTAAAGTTGTTTGCCTGGAAAACAATAACTCATCCTTTCCATGTACTAGGCCCAGTCCTAGACAGCAGGTTGAACAAGTCAAGCTTCTCAAACAAAGGCATGATATGAGAAATGATTACCCCAAAAGACTACTGTTGCGAGCGAGTTTCTTTAGGAACGTGCTTTACTCTTGTCACCACTAAAATAACTCCTCACCACCATGTCACCCCTTATTTGCACATGAACAGTCCTTGACATTCGTACTGCCTCTTCAGAGTGGCAGTATCTCTGACACTCCTGTTTATATCTGTCAGCCAGAACTCCCTGATTGGGCCAGAATAACAGCCTCAATCCGGGAATTCATATTCTGTGAGGTCCAGCTGGCTGACCTCATTACAATCACTACAAATGAGACTGCAATAATTTGTGCGAGTTGCAAGGAATGTTCTTGGTGTCACAAAAACAAATATTGTCATTTACAGGCAAGAACTTGGATTTATTTACAATGATAGCACAGAAACATTGAATGGTGGCAGCACAGAAATAGACCATGAACCCATTAAGCCCACACCTGCTCTCTTCAAAAGTAATTCAGCTAGTACCACTCCTCCTCCTCTCCTCCTTAATGCTGCAAATGTTTTCTCTTCAGGAGTACTTAGTTAATTTTCTTCTGAAAACCATGATGGAAGTTACTTCTGTCACCCTTTCAGGAGCAGCTATTCAGATTGTACTCTTTTGCTATTTAAAGGTTTCCTTAAGTTTTCTTTCATTCTTTTGCCAATCCCTTTAAATCCATGTCCTCTTGTTTTGTACCCTTCTACCGATTGGAACAATTTTCATCTTCTTTATTTAAACTCATGATTTTGGGCATAACAACTACAGTGGATTATTTTCCACTGAAATTTAGAATCTGCAAAGGATAAATCAAACAGTAAACGCAATAGATTAGACAGAATATTTAACTGGCAATGTAACTGGAGAGTTTTTGATGCTTGGGAGCACTCAAAATGTTTCTACTCCTTCATTTAGATAAATATCGCCAGACCATGGATCAGAACTCTGAATGTCTTATAGACATATTGAATTTTTGGATGGTCAGTTTCTTTTAAACAAAGGAAACAAGCACAAGTCTGGCCGATAATTTAACTAAGCACGGAATTCACTGACTGCTGAAAGACTCCTTGTGTGAACCCCTCCTACAGATTATATTCCACACTGGGGACATGAGTCAAAAGACAGGTTTATGTTTTTACCCTTCCTAGAATATACAAAACAGAGGTATAAGTCACTTGCAACCCTGGTCTGTGGATGGATAAGCATGTGTGGGCTAGTGCGCTGTGTAGGTTACAGCTTGAGGACAGCCCTTAAATACTCCTAATTTGCAGATAAAAACTAAAAGACAAACTAGTTTTTTTTTGTTATCACAGCCCACTTATTTAAGCAACAAATGAAAGCCACTTTCAAACTGCTATGATTTAATGTTTTGGACTCTACCTGCAGCAGTATCCCATGGATGTGGTTCTGTCGTATGTGAAGATCTGTGGCAGCAGGTAAGGTTTCCATCAAGGACATTGCCATAGGAAGTATTTGATTCACTGCGACAAAAGGAACTAATGCACGAGCTGCCATTTCACGAGAGCGATGTACAGGTGAGTGACCACACCTGCAAGAAAACAGATTATATAGATTTGACTGAGAAGTGTGGACAGTTATCCTCGTCTTAACCTGAGTAGTAACAAATTAGGTGTGTGTCTGGCATGCTTGGGTACAAACACATTTGAATGCTGAAGACAAAATGCTGGTAAACTTGCCACAAAACTTGGCACCAATTAGATGTGCAGTTTTTTTAAAATACAGATTTTTAAAAAATTTATTTCAATTTTCTTTCTGTAATTGAAGAAATCTGCCTGCCTTGTGACTAATCTACACAATTTCTTTTATGCTCAGGAATGTTAATTGAATTTTACAGCAATGCAGAAGAGATTCTTAACAATATAGATATATCATTACAAAAGTGAGGGTACTGATTTGATTTTATGTATACTCAGACTTTCCTTGTGCAACAATACTCCTAAAATTTCAAAAACAGAAAACAAACACATACACAACCTAGCTACTTCTTGATATGCTTTAATTTAGGAATTCAGAGAATTAAATGGTTTACACCTATAAACTGTCCACTGGATTCTGTACTAGATGATCCATATGGTATCAAGTTTAGTGAACTCTGCAATCACATCTTATATATTTATTTAAGACTTGTGTACCATCACTATCCATTTCCTGATCTCATAATGGATACAAAGTAAGGTATCCATCAGTGTTTGATTTGTTCATATTCGTCTCCCATCATAAAACAAACTCCCTGATCATTTCCATTTTACTGAAGTACAAGGTTTATCCCTTTACAACTGTTTAAACTTTTCTACTATAACGAGTTGTTGCAATCAACTCTTCTCCAGTCCATCAATCTAATCAAACATGCATTATTACAACATGGAATATTTGTTTTCTTTTAAAATAATGGATAAAAGTGACACCAACATTTTAAAGATTTTTTCAAAAGTGACTGCATAGCGCATCAATGAAGATGAATTACATATAAATATGACCTTTGGACTAGTGGATAGTTTGTTCTACTAATGATGTATCCTGCTTCGAATTTTTTAAAAAACTCTATATACAGAAATCACTACATTCTTGTTCCTTCCAGGAGTGAAATGAAGACTCATCATATTACCTGTAACTAAGTAATTCTTTCCTTTTTACTACATCCAGTCATCCCTTCTTCATAAAATCCACTGGCTTTCAAGATCAAAATATGGCAATTAAGCTTTTTGATTTGTGGACCTTCCCAAGATCTCCGTTTAACAATTTGACAGTTACTAACATTTTATACAATTTTAATGTTATGATCATGGAGATTATTCCAGTAAAAGTTGATCAGCAGTAACTCAAGTCTCAATTTAAGTTAAGTTAAAACTAGTAGCAACGCAAGATCAGCCTTATTTTCCAATGCAACAGGTTTTAGGAAAATTTCAGGCAAGAGCTCTATTTCCTAGGACTTATCCATTACATTAGAAAATAGAAAATAGAAAATCATCAGCTATTTCAGCGTGCTCAAAACACAACTTTTTACAAAAACCTAAAGTTGAAGTTAAATGTACAAGTGAAAACATATAGCCACAAGAAAATCTTTAAATTTACTCTACTATTGAAATGAAAATAAGCAATTGATTTCCTAGATGGAATAAACTAAATTAAAGCATTGCATATATAATGTATATTGTGTTTTGGATGCATTACAAATATTGGGCGGCATAGTGGCTTAGTGGTGAGCACTGCTGTCTCACAGATCCAGGGACCCGGGTTTGATTCCAGCCTCGGGCGACTGTCTGTGTGGAGTCTGCACATTCCCCCCGGGTGCTCTGGTTTCCTCCCACAGTCCAAAGATGTTCAGGTTAGGTGAATTGACCATGCTAAATTGCCCATAGGGATGTGTAGATTAGGTGGGTTATAGGGGGATGAGTCTGGGTGGGATGCACCAAGGGTCGGTGTGGACTTGTTGGGCCAAAGGGCCTGTGTCCACACTGTATGCATCCTATGAAATTCTATGAAATCTCTGCACCCAATGAAAGTGCCACAAAGTGATAGAAGGTAGAACAACTAGAAAACATTTGTTCAAAAGCCCAACCAGTATATTTGCATTCTTAAGACTCATTAGCTGGGAAATTTCAGTCTAGAGAACTGAAGCTTTAAATCAGCTGGTGCTCAGGCATCAATACCATTCTCTTTGTTTAAGTTTTTAAGCCAGACTCTCATATAAACCACTCTTGAAAGATGGGCCATTTTAGCTGAGGTGTTGGCAGCAAGGTGTGGGGGATAGAGAGAAGGGGGAAAATGGATAACTCCTTTTGCACATGTCTTAAGATGTACATAACTTTACAATTAGATTCACATAGGTTTGGCAAACAACTTGTGCAAGCAATTGACTTAACTTAAAATTGGCAAAAATAAAATTTTTAGTTTGGAGTCAACATTCTTTTACTATACAAATACATACACTTCCAAGGGAATTTTAACAAGAGTTCCAATTTATTCAACAATTCATTATTTTGTTTTGTAACATTTTGAATGATCCATTTACTTCTTCACAGGACATGTAAGCAATAACCCTTTCAATACCAGCAATTCTTTACAATCAATCGTACAAGGCAAGGTGGAAAGAACAACATGCATACAGGCAACAATAACTTGAATTCATTGATGTAATAAAATGCTTCAAAGTGCATAATAAAGTGGGGAAAGAAAATTAACAACTAAAATATATAAAATATGTCATATATATATACCAAGCAGCAAAAGGAATGTTCACAGATGTAACTGAACAGGATAAAAAATTAGGTTTTGATGATCAAAATTGCAAAAGGTGGAGATGTTCAGTAGATCTGGCAGCATCTTTGAAGGCAGAAACAGAGTTAGCCTTTCAGATTAATGACTTTTCTTCAAAACAAACATCAACTCTGTTTCTTTGGACCTGCTGAGTGTTTCAAGCATTTACTATTTTATTTTAAATTTCCAGAATTCACAGTATTTTGCTTTTATAAAGGTTGATGCACAACCAGCAGGAATCCAAAATTGTAAAATACAGTATTAATGACGTGTAACAGGAGGAGAAGGAAAGAAAAGAAAGAAAATAAAATGTTCGCATACTAATAGCAGCAACATCTAATTGCTTAAATAAAACAAACATATTGGAGATTGTATCTGTTACATATTTCCCAAATTACCAATCTTGAGGTTCTGTGGAGCTGAATGATTTGATTAATGCAATGTGGAGAAAACTTCATTTTCTAGCCCACAACATTATACATGTTCTTGGAAATAAAAGCCCAATCGCATTAATTATTCCCCAGTATGATCATCTCCATTAGCACATAAGTTCACATAAAAAGAAAATTAAAAATGACAGTAAAGCAAATTTGGCAGATTTTCAGCAGAAAACTTAAGTGATCTAAATGATATTTTGTCAATTATCTATTCAGTCTCACCTGAGTCAACATGTAGTACAAAAAAATGCAGGTTTTATTAAGTTCGCCAGTACTAATTTACAGGACTGGCATATATTTTGCTGGATCAACAGCATATGATGTTGTTCATGAACGATAAATCCCAAATTATAACCTCTATATTTTCCATTTAGCTAGCACTTTTTATCCAAATGTTGTTACATTTTTGTTCACTGATGACTTCTGCAACATTCAGCATTAAAATAAAAACCACTATGTTTAGGAATAGCTAGAAATGCACCTTGACCTTTACTTGTGTAGTTTCCCAAAGGTTCCATCATAAATAATGGAAAATGGGAACTTGGCCAAATGTTCTTGACCCAAAACACTCTGCAGGAGGGCATTTTCTAAAATGCTCAAGTCATTACTTTTTTTACCGTCATACAAGGCATATTAGCGAGAGTTAGATACAGCTGTCTAACCGTAGTTTTGCTGAACATTAGATAAGTGACAATGTCCACAATTTTTGGTATTTCATTATCAATTGTTAATAATCTGGTCACTGCACTGTAAGAATGATGTGACTGCATTGGAAGGGGTCCAGAAGAGACTCACTAGGATGTTGCCTGGGCTAGAGCAGTTCAGCTATGAATAAAGGCTGGATGAGCTTGGGATGTTTTCTTTAGCGCACAGAAGGCTGAACGGGGACCTGATTGAAATACATAAAATTATGACGGCCATGGAAAGGATGGATAGAAGACAGCTGTTCCCCTTAGCTGAAGGGTCAAATAAAATGTAGCCCTATTTTTAAGGTGAAAGGTAAGAGTTTAGATTCGATTTAAGGGGGAAAAAAAAATTCACCCAGAGGGTGGTGGGAATCTGGAATGCACCACCTGGGAACCATTACAGCTTGAGGGTACAACTCTGCAGAAAGAAGGTTTTCTCACTTTGGTTCAAACTCTGTTACACTTGATCTTGTATTTCTGGCCTCTTGTTCCACCCTTTCATAACTTTGATACTTCTACTATCTTGTTCCATAATCTGCAATGTTCCAACGAGGTAATTTAAATCTTTGTATTTCCTCATATCAGGTTGCAGTCCAGTGTATCTGTCAAATATCAACTCAAACTTCAATATGTTTCCTAAGGTACAGGGGTCAGCACAATAGATATTAATTATTTAGATGAGAGAGCTGAATGTAAAATCTCCAAGTCTGCAGATGACACAAAGCTGGGTGGGAGGGTGAGCCATACAGAGATGCAATGTTATTTAGACAAGTTGAGTGAGTATCTGAATGCACGGCAGATGAAGTGTAATGTGACTTATTGCGAGATTACTTGCTTTGGCAGCACAAACAGGAAGGCAGATTATTATCTGAATGGCAATATATGGGAAAGGGGAAGATGCAATGAGACCTTGTATATCAATCACCAGAAGTAAGCAGACAAATGCAGCAGTGGTGAAGAAGGCATTTGGTATGTTGGCTTTCATAGTGACAGGATTTGAGTACAGGAGCAGGGATGTCTCAGTGAGACCACATCTGCAGTACTCTATTCAGTTTTAGTCTCCTTATCTGAGGAAGGATGTCCTGAGTCTGGAGGGAGTGGAACAAAGGTTTACCAGACTGATTCCTGGGATGGTAGAAGTAATGTAT